TTTTTTTTTTTTTTTTTTTTTTTTTTTTTTTTTTTTTTTTTTGCTGTTATGGTCAATAAAAATCTCTCTTTTTATTGTTGCTTAGTAAGGAATTTAAGAAAACTTGTTTGTGACGTTAGGGTTATGTCTTTGCTATTAATTTTTGTTAGGTAAATCTAGACCGTTATATTTTCATCAATATCTCGAAATATATTCTAGATTTGCTTAAACGGTGACCAGAGTTAAATGTATAAAATGGTCAAAACTTTACATGAAGTGAAATTAGTACCTTTTCTACTGAAAATTTGTCTCTATTAGTGATAAGTTGATAACTCGTCAAAGTCATAATTTTAAAAAAAAAATCAGCGTTAACGATAATTTTCTTATGCAAAAATTGAGATGATAAGAAGACATTTATCAATCTTCGCCGAATTTGAAAATATCGCTGACTGTATAAATAGCAAATAAACTACATTTTTAAAAAGGGGGTGAAAGGTATTTTAGAATACCTTATTTGAGTGGGGAAGCTTGGCGATGGTCGGATGGTGTCTCTCTCATTACAGGAGAGACGGGTACAAAGCGCAAACTATTCGAACCCGTTGATGCTAGCTCGCTGCCACTTGCTCGCTGCACCACCGAGCCACTCGAATAGCGGCTGTACTGTTATCAGCTTACTCTTATTTAAGCTTTCATTTTTCTTCTGTCGTTTGCGTTTCATCCTTTAGTGGTGGTTGTGTCTGCATCTTAATATGTGTTTTATCAATATAAATGAGTAATTAATTAGCAAATAAGTAAACAATATTCTCCTCATTAATTAAATAATGTCTTAAATGGTTCTGAAATGATGATTTCATCTAATTCTACAATCAAGGTGCTCGTACAAAGTTTAAAGTTTTCAAAATATCATATGAAACGTTCGCATTTTCAAATAAATTAGTGTTTACAAAATGTTTGGTTGCATGCATAGCTATGCGTGGATGATGGTACGAAAGAAGATTTAGTAATTGAACTGTAATCTCGTAAAATGCAAATTAAGCTTTGGTCCTAGACTCCTAGTCCCTCGACATGGTGATTGCTGACCGTCAAGGAGAAAATGAGTCGCTGTGAAACAAATTAACGGATGGTGTCACGTGTGAATGATAGACTGTCGTTAATTTGAAACGTGTCCTTCTCAAAAATAGACATTCGATTTTTTTCAAAAAAGTACTTTTGAGTACCTCATATTAACGAGGAACAAACAACAACAGCAGCAACAATAACAATATCACCACAAATGCAGTTTGCTACCTTCGAACCCTAGTCTCGTGTCAACACTCGCACGATGCTCGACCAAGGAGACCAGAGGAACAACTGCATCAAGTTTCGCAACCAATGATAAATAAACGAGGTTTGTCTCTCAGTCATGTTCTACTTTGATAAATCATTTATTTTATTTTATTTTGATTCAGTTAAATCATTTATTTGTGTAAAGAGTATCAGTAGTAATTCACAATTTCTAAAAGAAGTCTAATACCCCGAAAATCAAATATAATTGTGGAACTTTGAAAAGTTGACATTCAAATTGAATAAAATTAGTTGACAAATATATTGAATAAAATCTAGATTATTATTTGCAAAGTTATTTTTCGCGTTTGAATTCTCATGTTAAAAATTAGAACAGTTTATATCACTAGTATCTTTAATGAATAAAATAAATAAATTGTCAAAAAAACAAATTTAAAATTTATTTGATTGGTTAAATAATTAAAATTAAAAATTACAACATCTAAATATATATTCTTGTTGTGTGGAATATCTTTTAATAAAAATTTCAAAATTCATAACAGAAAACATATTATTAAATATTAATCAAACACAATTTTAATATTATATATTTAAAAAGAGAATATTAAATAATTTTAATTTTTTTTTGTTAATCATAAACATATTACGAATTAAAATTAAAACTATAATGATAATTCATTATTTTTTTAATTGAAACTTTTTTTAAATGCGGATGAAAGTATAACAAAACAAAAAAACAGCACTCAATAAATATATGAAAAAGGCATTTTAGAATACCTCATTTATGCATATACAGTGAAACTCTATATATTAATTGACTTGAGAAATTGATGCAACTACTCGAACGGTGGTCGCTAAAGCACTGACCCATGCTCGTTGCACCACTACGCCGTGAATAGCTGCAATAGCAAATTACCCAAAAGCACTATATAATCATAGTTTTCTCTTCAAAATCTTAAAAGGAGAGTTCGTGCACCTTGTCGTTTATTAACCTTTTTTGTAACTAAACTTAATTTTAGAATAGAAAATATTTTTGAGTGTTAATAAACATGTCATGTTCCTAGAGGAGTAAATGGGGTGGCTCTGCTCATACTTTAGGTACGAAATGTAATTCTGAACTATTATTTACATCCTCTACTACTTTCATTCCATATTGGCTTTCCAATGTGCTTCCTAATGATTTACATGAGATGTAAATGTAATTAATAAAGTTACTTTCGTCGGAAAAAAAACATGTCCATAATGCGACCAAACAAAGAAACAAACAATTCTCTATTTTCAAACTAATTTCAAAGCTTTTAAGAGGATACAATGTATGATGTTATTAAGTTCCAAAAAAAGAGTATGATGTTTAATTAGTTCAAAGTGGTTGTATAATGAGATTATTTGATGTTATATTCTTTTTGGACTCAATATTAGGTAATTGCCTATGATGGGACTCATCTGTTTTTTATGATCATATTGCCCTTCTTTTTACATGCATGTGATTTTCTCTCCAGACACATTCTCTCTGTACTGACACATTCTCTCTCCTCACAACCTACCTTTCTCTTTCATTTGATTCCTCTTCTTTCTCATTCTCAAACTCTTTTATCATGTTAATATCTTCTTTTTTTTTGTAAAAATTTATTGTTGCGAAAAATTTATTACTATTTCACTACTATTCTTATGAATCTAAATTATTTTAATTTCACCACATTCTGAAAAAATCAGCATTGAAGTTTTTTTAAAAAATCGCCGAGATGTTAACACTTATGTTAGCTGTTAACAAATAATATAGATGTCAACAAAAATGTTAACTGTTAACAAATACATGTATCAGATGTATTAACAGAGACATTAATTATTAACAAATTTTGTAAATGTTAACAGATGTGTTAACAGAAGCAGTAACTATTAACAATTTTTGTAGCTGTTAACATTTGTGTTAGCTGTTAAAAAAACATGTACTATAGGTGTAAACATATGTGTTAACTGTTAATAAATTCATAGATGTCAATACATTGTTATGTATTATAAGTAAAAAAATTATATTGTTGAAGTTTCAATTTCTCTATCGAACTGAGTGAACTTAAAAAGAAAAGAAGTGGAAATAAAAAAAAGAGTGTGTTATCGTTGAGAAAAAATGAAGAAAAAAAAATATTTGAGAGAGTAAAATGAATGTTAACGAATGGAAAAAAAAAGTGAGAGAGAGTGTCAGAAAAAGAAAAAAAATCTGTGAGACGGGAAAGAGAAATTCAATGTTCTACTATGTTATTTTGGGCAAACCAAACTTTAATTGTATGCTTTTGATTTATAATGTCAAATCATGGACAAAGCTCTAATATTAATTTCAAATAAGGGTATTTTACTAAATCTCTCTTGTATAGTTTGCATTTCTTCAAAAAAATTGTTGGACACATAGAATGGTTACCGTATATTATATCAATTGTATATCCATGTAAATACAAACTAGAACTGGAGTGCGCATGACTGCGCAAATATTAGTTTTTTTTTGTTTTTTTTTATAAATTAATATTTATTTTAAGGACTAGTGTTATATATTTTAGATAGTGATTGAATTTCTAAGTATTTGACCGGAGTTTAATTTAAAAACCAAAAATCTGATATTAAAAAAACGATCCATATCCGAATGGATATCTTAATACTCAAATCTAATTGATTATGTAAATAGATAAAAAAAAATATTTTAATCATTTTTAATTCTTGTTTTGAATGAAGCAATTTCATTCAAACTTGTTGAATTGATATGTTTAACATACAAAAAAAAATTCTATTGAATTATTATGTTAAAGGCAAATAATGAAATATTTAGGAAAAGTGAAAAAAAATAAATGTAAAAGACAAACGGTTAAAGGGTAATTATTGTTTTGTAATTTTGTAATAAATGTTGTCGGATTATTTGAAAAAGACAATAAATGAAGTTGTTATAAGTATTTGGAAAAGAGAATAAATAAACTAGTTATAATTAATTTAAAAGAAATAAAATATGTAAAAAACAACTTAAAATAAACAATTATTATTTTCTATTTCAGATTTTGTAGAATAGATGAATTCTTGTTTCGGGTGAACCAATTTCATTCAAAATGTCGAATTGTTATGTTTAACATATAAAATATATACTATCGAATTATTATGTTAAAAATAAATATTAAGAAACTAGTTAGGAAAAGTGAAAAATAAATATAAAAGACAAACACTTAAAATAAGTAATTATTGTTTTGTATTTTTGGAATAAATGCTATCAGATATTATTTGGAAATAAACAATAATAAAGTGGTTAAAATTATTTGAAAAAGATAATAAATGAATTGCTTAATATTAGTTTAAAAGAAAATAAAATATGTAAGAAACCACTTAAAATAGGTAAGTATTATTTTGTACTTCAGTTTCAATAGAATAGACATTTGAGTTCTTGTTCTAAATGAAACAATTTCGTTCAAACATGTTGAATTGTTATGTTTAGCATATAAAATAAATTCTATCAAATTATTATGTTAAAGACAATTAATGAAATAGTTAGAAAAATTAAAAGATCTAACTATATTAAAAGGGCTTATTCTAGAGTTTTTAAGCTGTCCACGTCATTTATTATATTCAACCAATACAAATATTTCATTCC